GAGGAGAAGGCCGGCACAAGCAATAACGAGCAGACCAATCCACGGAAACTTCGGTGGCCTGGGCGTGGCTGGGTGGACACTGCAACACAAAACCCTGGCTGCTCGGTGCACAAAGCCAGCGACAGCACATCCTAGACGACTAGTGCAAGTATTTTGTTCGTGGACAGCAAGCTTGACATGGCATTTTTGGCATGCGACCCTGCCGAAACTGCACACCACAGTCGATTGACTGGCCCAAAACTGGGGTCTGCGAATCCCCAGCGGCAGCGCCTAGGGGACTAGAGTCTATCTAGAGTCTAGACTCTGTAGCCTGCTCTACACTCATACCTAGATCCGAGGAAACTTAGTCAACTAGTCGTCACCACACGATGTCTCCTCTGGCTCACTATAGTCAGCATCTGAAGTTTGCGCACACTTGAGAAAGTTGTCCACCGTCACTTTCCGCAGATCACTCGCAGCAGCACTCCGGCCGTTGATCCGCAACTTGAAGCATCTCAATTCTGCTGGAACCAGCTTTCCTGCAACACATGGCACGGATCAGGGGACCGGTGACCAGGTTCTTAAGTTCGATTCTTGTGACCTTGTGTGGTGGGTTTTTTGCTCTGTGTTTCCCAATGTCCCAATGGGCCTGTGAGCTGGCGAAGCACCATGATATAAACTTCCCGTCGAAGATCGCTCATCTTTTTCGCTACTTGGATCACAAAACTTCCGTGTGCACCGTGAGCCGGGTGATTTGAAGGAATGCCGTTCCGCAGCCTCATAGGCCAGAATCCCAGCTGGAACCATAGAACCGCACAAGAGAAACAACAATATAAAAAGAATATAATCACGGAATCACCCTCACAAGATCCCATACTGACATCACTGAAGCTCAGACCGTGGCAAGCGACCGCCATTTCACTTGGGCCTCCGTCTTGAAACGCGCATGCTGGACGACGGAGGCATACACATGGAGCACCAGCGACTTCCGAACGAGCACAGTCCAATCATCATACTGTCGGGATTTGAACACGAAAGTTTCTATCGATCTGATGTACGCCACTGCTTGCCACGTCAAGCCATACCCTGGGACAAGGCTTTGGCCCGTCAAGGACAGTGACAGGTCACTGATAGCCTGTATTTGTGGAGCATGCTGCCAATGATCCTCCAAGCGTGCTTCTGTGGCCGCATCAAGCAAAAACCAGCCCCACTCTAAGCCTAGCAGCTCTGCTGGCGGATGATTCGTAAGGATGTCATTGTGGTGACGAGCCACCAGTGCTGCCAGAACAGGCATGCTGAACCGGCAGCTCGCACAAAAGGCAAACTAAGCACTTGGAAGTACTTCAAGTAGTCAGTAAACTCACACAGCACTCTCACTGGACTGCCACATGAGGAACGCATCAAGCTGAATGTTATTCATATTCATTCATATTCATACTAACACAGATCGTGATTGTATATCTCAAAATAAGCGCAACTAATACCACACGCACACACCGCATGCCTGCACTCATTTCGCTTGAATGGGGAAGGGATCGCGGACAGCAGTAGTTCGAACCTCAATCATGCAGCCCCATTCCTGGTCCTGATATTAGCACTGCAACTGCCTTGGGGCAATGGCAACGGCACTGGACTGTTACGACTTGACCAAAAGCAAGCCAGCCGTGGCTGCCTTTTTTCATCGAGTCCGCCTTTGCCGAACTTTGACATCCCAGAGCTGGGACCTGATCTCACGAGCAGTTTGCTCATGCTGCTGTGCATCCTGATGAAGCCCACTTGCCAACCAACTTACGAGATCCTTCTCCACATCTTCGATGATCGGAGGTCGACCCAATCTGGCCGAAGTCGTCTCGAAGCGGCTTCGGTTTTGACCCTGAAGCGGTAGGCTGATCATGTTGTAGCACGACCTGTGCAATTTGCAGGTCGCTTTCAATGATGGACCAGCAGAACTTGCGATGTGATGGAGCCTGCCCACAGAAGAGCCATCACTGGTCCGCCTGTAGTGCCAGCAGCCATCGTCGTAAATTTCCGCAGGATTTCCCTCCAACCCAAGCTGCCGAGGCTGAGCTTCAACTGGGTTACCGACCTGCGCATGCGCATTGGCAACGGAGCTGGAACTAGCAGCTGCATTTACATCATGGACGGGATGGCCAGGACCATCATCGGCATCCTCAGCTACATCTCGCTCCAAGTCCCCATCTGCGTCACCAGGCGCTGCTGAAAACAGCCGATGGTCGGCCTCCATGTCTTGAAGCTCTTCTGCACGAGGAGCTGCGTCTCCATCCCCCTGACCCAAGGTTGCATCTGCAAGGACCTGAAGAGGATCAAACNNAACTCCTCAGCGGCTACGACTGGCGCTGGTCTGCTCTTCTTCAGAACAGACTTCGGCTTGGCAGCTCTGGGCCTGCTTGCTGCCAAATCCGCAAGAATGTCAAAGTCGCTGGAATCTCCTGCAACATGTTCATTGCCACGGTTTGCGTCAACATGCTCTGGCTGCTCTGGCTCAGCCAGCACTTCGTATGTCTTGCCAAGACTGCCCAATAGGTAACTGTCGAGACGGACACCTGCAAATGTCCATTCAACCTGCGTGATGCGAGTGTACTCAGCCGGAACCTCATCCACAAAGCACATGCGTGCGGCCAGCTCATCTTCGGTTACACAAGCCAGCCTGGGAGACAGTGCAGTTTTCGGGCGACAAGGAAGCAGACTCAAGTACAATACATTACAAAATCATTACAATATGCTTTATATGTTACTACTTCTCGGACATGGAATGGAGTTTCGCGACACGTTTCAAAAGAAGTAGTCTGACTGAAAGGCAGGCAAAGCACCGGCCCAGACCTACGGCTTGGTCTAGAGGCTTTCTGTTGACCTTGTGCGGAGGCACAAACTCTAGATGCTTGTGTCGAAGCACGGCACCTGAAGAAGCCGCAGCACAAACCTGACGTCATCAGTTAGTTTATTTGGATTTGGGTCAAGGCTCCCAGGTTGCTTAAAGTCAATAGTTTGGAACTTGTGGGCCGGCTTAGGGCTTGGGACGGTTTGGGGCTTTAACTTGGGGGTCTATGCTAGGGTTTATCAGTTTATCAGTTTATAGTTTATGTATAGTTTATTATGACCAGTTAAGTTTTGGGCCTAGGGCCAGGCGGCCTAGGGCCTAGGCCTAGGGTTTAGAAAAGTTTAAAGTTTAGAAGTTTAGGTTTAGGAGTTTAGGTTTAGGTCAAGGTTTAGAGCCAGGGCTTACTTATAGGGTGTAGATACCGTATAGTCTAGTCATACGGTCTGGTAACAGTATAGTAATATACTAAAACAATTATATAGTCATATAATACGTATAAGTCTGAGTCTAAGTCATATAGTCGTGACTGAAGTGACTAAAGTTGACTAAATAAAGACTAAACTTAGGTTGAAACGCTTGGGCTTGGGCTTGGACCGGCACCAATGCAATTGGGGTGCGCAGCGACCACAGTCGAACTCCAGCTCTGCGAAGTTGACCTGCGCAGGGTGATGTGCCTGTCTTCCTGCCGCAGAGCCGATGGCAAAGAACTGCAAACGGTCTGGAGTCCGAGGTGTTCCTGGGTTTGGAGGAAACTGGGTGTGAGTCTCCACAGCAAGGATCAAGCCAGTTTGTGAAATCAGCCGAACGTTCGAGCTGAAGTCTTTGACAATCGCATGCAGCATGTCGACAAGCTTGCGGTGGTACCGCAGTGTGCGCTGGCTGTTACATGAAACGCAGAGGCTGCCACAATGGCCAGGATACTCTACCTTCTCTGGGAAAGCAGTTTCCGGTGCGATGTGGCTGGACATCCTGGCGAAAGTGCGGACATCTTCATGCATGCGGAATCCTTCTGCCTGCAAGCGCTGCCTGACCATCAACGGCGAAATCGGAAATTGCTCCCGGACTTGGGCAGTGCCAACTTCTTCCATCAAGGGCTTCTGCAAGCTCTGGCAACCAAGTCTGCTCGAAAAGGGTGGGGTCTGGTAGCGCTGTGAGTTTGGACCGGCCAATACCGATGCTGCCCCATGGCCCACGGCTGCGGCATTCTGAACCTCCTCCATGAGTTCAGACAAAGAATCCGCCATGGTCCTGGCCGGACTGGGAGTGGCCTCAGCAGGCCTAGAGGAACCACCTGCAGTGGTGACAGGAGCCTTCTGCTTCTGCTGCCCTGCATCGAGCCGGGCCATCTGTGAAATCACTTGACCTGCTGCAGCACGAGTCTTCAACTCAGCAAGCCGCTCCGAGCTGAGATTCGCAAACTCAGCCCGCACAGCAGACCAGCACTCCTTGGAGACAGGGTTCCAGAAGTGTCCTCTTTCCTTCTCTTGCCGCAGCCAGTCAGACCTGAAGATCTCCAGAGGGCTTTGCGACTTCGCACGCTTCGGGCGGCTTGAGTCTACCGCACCGGCACTGACACTGCGTTTCCCGGGTTTTGCCTTGGCAGCCGCCGTGCCCTGCTCAACAGCTTGCTGGAAGGAGCGTGCCGCCCGCTCCTGCTCCAAGCGGTCGATCGCCTGCCCTTGGTGGCGGGCTTCGGCCAGAAGGGAGTGGGCACAAAAGCAATACCACGGACTTTGCGGGTCTGCCAAACTTTTGTGGGTGGCATGCCTCCGCTCCACGGCTGCCACTGTCAACTTCAGGATCAGTGCGTGCAGCAAGAAAAACCACCTGAAGTGCGGCAGCTTCGCTTGGAAAGACTGCTGCGTGCAAGATTCTCGAAGTTCACGGCAAAAGCCAGCACGGTGACAACACACAGGTGTGTCGAAAAACTCTTGGATCAGACTCTCGTGTTGGCGGAAACATCTGGGATCTGCGAGACTGTAGAGCCGCCAAGGCCAGCGATGGACATTTGCAAAGAACCGACGATGAAGAGAGGTCGCGATCATCAGAAATCGGCTCCTGGCCAAGCGGATACTTGGAAACCTGCATGGAGGCTTGGGCTTGGGTTTGGAGGTTCGTTTTGGCTGGTAGAAAAATAGACCGCAGGGTGACTGGCGGAACGACTAAATTTGGTTAATCCACCTAACAAGCTGCACATCTCACCTGGGCAACTCGTTCACATCATGTCAATGGAACTGGTGATGACTTTGTGTTCAAGTTTCCAATATGAATGTTCACTGGGCAAGTTTCCTTTCTGATGAAAGGCTTCAAAGGACTCTTCTTGCGATTGCCGTGGTGCGGCTCCGACATTTGCAGTCCAACCCTGATCAAGGTAATTATTCGGCCCTAAGACGGTCCTAGGAGTCGCAAGACCTAAGACAGGCTGGGTTTGCAATGGCAGAAACACAGCACAACTGTTCTACACTCCCTCAGGTTTGCTTGAAACATTGAAACATCTCAGCCAATCTCCTGGCAGCAGCTGCCTCTGAAGGGCAGTCCAGAACCCAAGTTTCGATTGACTCGTGGCCAGACAAACCTGCAAGGAGCATCAACCGGGTGCCATCTCCATGAAGTAGGCGTGCCATGTATTGCATGACCGCCACGTACTTCGAGGATGGACCCCACAACTCCTGCAGCAGCACGGGCCAGGACTGCTCGTCGATCGCCGTGTGGGCAAACTTCAAAAACCTCGAGTGCAAATGCCGGAGTGGCTCAATGGCAATTGCAAGCAGCGTTCTTTGGAATCTTTCTTCCGGTGACGCCAGCACCTTGCAGAAGCGGTGGTACCGGCGCCCGGCCAGCGCACGCCAGTCTACACGGGTGTCAGCCTCGACGTCCTCTGACCTTTGTGGTAACTTGTGGGCCCAGGTGGCTTTCTTCAGCAGGAATTCGAGGAGTCCGTGGAAGTCCGTACGTAAAAAAAAGTCCAGCGACGGACCCGCTTTGGTCCAGTCCGATGTCAGAGGCAGAACTGGCAGTATCCTGAAAAGGACTTGTGTGACAGCTGCGACTGTCTTGGCCTCCGCATCCTGCCGCGTTCGGCAGCATTCAGGGCCCAAGCACTGGTGGACCACTACCCCGCGCTCCCAGCCGCAACCATTCAAGACATGACTGAAGCAGTGTTGTATGTCGGCCTCAATTTTCCTCCAGTCCCGAACACCTTCGGAAATGTGCATTCCACGCAACCCGAACCTACTGAGGACCCAGGACCCAGGACCTAGGACCATGACCATCGGACTTGCTTACAAAGACTGGGGGACTGAAAGGACCTATTAAACCTATTGGCTATAGGATATAGGCATAGGCGGCATAGGCATAGGACTTAAGACGACTTAAGACTTAAGACTTAGGACTTCGGACCTAGGAAATCTTGCCTGGGCTTGCGGCCATCTGGCGATCGTTGTGACAAAGATTCGCCTTCAAATAGGATGAAAGCTCTTCCCGGAATTTTCGGCCACGTTGCAAATCGGAAGCCGAAGGATTCTGGTTCCATTTGAAAAAGCTGGGGTCCTTAATATAGACCTGGAGGGAGCCTACTAGCTTCAAGAAGTGTCCAGCCATGCGAAGGAACAGGCACCCTGCGTAGAGGTTTGCAATGAGTCGTCCACCAGTCTCCTCAACCCTGGGAGCTGCTTGTATCGCATCTGTGAAGATCAAATTGCACTGGTGGTTGTTGCATAAGACCTGATCTGCGAGCAAAGGCAATTCGGGCAATTCTCCTGCTCCAACCACTTCGGTGTTCTGCTGCATCTGTTTCATTTCGCTGTATCTGTAGAAAAACAACTTCTCGTTTGCAAGATGCCCATCGGACTCAAACGCCAGGCACTTGATTGTGCCACACATGAGGATGTCCTGAACGATGTCGAGGAGTGGCTTTGACATGTGATGCTCAAACAAGCCCGAGTGCACTGCCGCAGCTGAATTGCTTGGCAAGGGGAGTGGGGGGGAAATTATTTCCCTGTAAAGTTTGCAACCAGGAGCACTAAGGTAACCCACTGTGAAATGGAGGCGTCCTGCTAATACCGTCCACGATGACTTCTGCTGCTGCAACTTTGTGCCGGCAACTGCGTCCAGCGCAAGAGTCTGCGCTGTTTCGTCAAACATCAGGCAGGCTGCTGTGATATCGGGCTTGTGAGTGATGGCAAAATGTCTGAACTCACGTAGCCGGGCCAGCTGAGATTCCCACAATGTGTGCCCAGTCAACACGAACGTCCGCAGTATCGTGACCTTGCTGACGTCATACTGGTCCGCCAGCGCAGCTTTGTTGTGCCGCTTGTTGAATGCGATCGCACACATGTCATGAGCACTTAGCTTCTGCTTTCTCTGTCGCCCGCCCGAGGAAAAACTCAACACGCGTGTGGAGCATAATGCGAACTGGTCCTTGCCTTTGATTTTTACAGCGTGCAGCTTGGGCCCCCTGCCCAGCTGCTCATTGAAACTGTCTGCGTACTTCTGCAGAACTTCACCAGTTCCCTCCCGCATCCGCTGGGCCCTACGAGAGGCAAGCCTTTCCCTTCCTCTTGCTGCCAGCAAGCACAGCTGCTCGTAAGACCGTCCGCGGCCATCCCCTGTGCCAAAGACCGACACCTCAGGGCTGCAGACGGACATATCATCATATCACATGTCAATCATGTCATCATATAATGGAATATAGCAGCACGAGGACAAATGGGGGAAAAGACTCAATGCCAAAAGCCCTAAACCCCGTCAATCCAGAACTCCTTAACTTAGACTCTTAGACCCTAAACGCCTAAAGGCCTAAAGGTCTCAAAACCTGAAAACCCACAGCCCTAAACCCAACACCCCAAAATCCCACAATTATAAAATTCCAACCTTGACACCTGAAGACACAAAGATTCGACTCCAAGACACAAGACCTAGGAGGACCTAGGACCTAAGACTTAGGAACTTAAGAACCATCATAAATACATGCATACATACATGCATACATACATACATACAATTACATACATGCATTAGTTATTCTGTTATTGTGCCAGCACAATGACATTCATAAGAGGCCATTGCGGGACAAAGATAAGACACGGTGAGAACAGTAGCAACTGCGGGCTCCGACACGGGTTATAAGACACTGCACGACAAGCACCCCAAAGCAGCAGCTTCAAGTGCAAACCGATGCCGGCCTCTCGCCGATCGCACTTCACACGCCGAACCGATCTTGCAACTGGTTGCTCCGGCACCTGCGTGAGCGGGTCTTAAGCTTTGGGGTTTAGGGCCTAGGGCCTAGGGCCCAGGGCATGCTGATCGCTCGATCCACAGCCATATCTCACCCCAACACTAGTCACTAGTCACTGGCCGAAAGCCGCTGGTTAGTCACTCTGGTCAAGACACACGCACAAACCACAAACTTGCGCTGATAAACTCACGGGGAGTGAAAAAAAGCCTGGCCTCCCTTGCAACGGGCACATCGATCTGCGCATCATCCTGGTCCTGGCTGTGCTGGGCAAATGAGTGAAAATTCACAGGGCTTCGTTCGTCTCCGATTTCTGACAATGACAATCAAAGTGGAAAACCTAATGACTTTATAGGCGGCAACCACTGGACCCACTGGACGGAAGGGTGCAATAATCGTGCCGCACCTGCACATGATCCGCCAACAAGTCGACATCGTCAGCGTGATCCGCAGATTCCGCAGCCTGCGCATTGAGTGGCTCAAGCTTGAAACTTGGACCGCTGTGTAACGTTTCCCATTCTTGCCTCTATAGACTCTAGACTCTAGACTCTAGGGACTCTAGGGCCTCTAGGGATTCTAGATTCTAGATTGATTCTAGACTACATTTCTTCTGGAACAGTATCTGTCGTCGTGGCAACCGTTATGCCGAAAATTATTCTAAGTAGCCTGAGGTGGCTGGGGCCGGCCTCAATGTTGTTCTCCGCATCTTCCAGCAAGTCAATGTCATGGACTGCAGGTTGTTCCTGCGAGTTTCACACGCCAATGACATACAGTCGTCGTCTGAGTCGTCAGTCGACGAGTAGATTGGTCGACTCACGAGACGGAGAACACCAACAAAACCCCTTCGAACCAGCCCACCGAGTTTGTCCTGATGTGTGGAATCTGGCTGCAGAGCGCCCTCCAGCAGGTCCACCTCATCGTCTGGAAATGAATCCTGTCAACCAAGAAAATTATGGAACCAATCCCATACAAATCGTAAAGCTGATGCTGAGGTGCTCATCGAACGCACAGAGACCTCTATGGCTGCTGGACTTCCATGCAAACAACCTGATCTGATCTGAATCTTGCAGATGGCATGCTAAGGAGGAGCACTACCCGCTGTCCTCGAGGAGATCAAAAGCATCCTCATCGGCTCGGCTCATGTAGAGCCCGGCGGCCCGGGGCAGCAGTAGCAAAGCGCATTCTTAATTTTGAAACCGCGCCTGACTATCTCACGATGGCCTGAGCGTATGGATAAGCTAAATCTCGTTCTTTTGTGGTTTGCGGCTCAAGGTTCAGGGCTTAGGGCCTAGGGGCTGGGGCCTAGGGCCTAGGCGCTTAGGCGGCTTAGGGTTTCGAATTCAACGAGTTGAGGTTCGGGGTTTTCGGCTTAGGGCTAGGGCCTAGGGCCTAGGGGCCTAGGGCGGCCTAGGGTTACAGTTACAGGCATACAGCGCGGCATAATCATAGACTTACAGTACAGCTGATAAGGCTTAGGCTTAGGCTTATGGTTTAAGGACCTGGACCTAAGACCTTAGGACTTAGGACTTAGGAGTTTAGGCAGTTCAGGGTTTTTTTGAAAAGGTACCATTACCATCATCTATAAGAAACCCGTCCAGGAAGAAACGGTCTTGAGTCCTGAGGCATCGTTGCCATTATATTCAAAGCTGATGGCCGAAAGCTGGCACATTCGAGGGATAAGATTGATGCCCTGCAACTTACAAATGCTGCAGCCCAGTCGTCAAGTGTCACTGCAGCTCACATCGCCAGCTGTTGGTCACATGACTGCTCATGTCCCCAACTCTCCCACTGACCTGTTTAGAGCCCTGGCATCCAATGCAGAGAGAGAGAGAGAGAGAGTCAAAGAGAGAAAGAGAAAGATTCAGCCTAAACTTACGACTCTACTACTCTCAGGCCTAAGACGCTAGGACCAAAGACCTATGACATAAGACTCATAAGACCCCCAACCCAAGACTTCAAACCCAGGCCAACAAGACCTTAAAATCAAATCCTTAACCCACTTCCTGCGCAGACCGAGACTGCAGCATCGGTCCGAAATGGCGTCATCATCGCTCCTGCAAAGCGAAACACTAATAGTAAGAATAAATCACAACAGCACTGGCAGAACAGCGCGCTTCGACACTCCATCGCAGGGCACTTCGAAAGAGCGGAAGCCAATTGACGGGGTTGGTTTCAGTGTTGGAAAGGAGGGCAGCAAGCAGCGAGCCCCATCATATCTTACTTCAACAAGCCCAACCTGGCCCAACCACATCCTACCATGCCGCATGCTGCAGTCCTCCAGGATCCAAAGCCGCAGCGAAGAAAGCAGCGACGACACCTCC